CGGAAAACGTGAAGGTAAATATCTTTAACCGGCGAACCGATTATTATAAAAATATATTTAAGGAATTACTATTATTATTAAAAGAAACGCTAAAAGTATTTTTAATTATTTATTTTAACCGTTAATAGAATATTATATGGTATATTATGAGTAAGTTACTTTTAGTCAGTTTTTAAAGAAGTTAAATAATAATATCATAAAGTAATATTAATAAAAGTAATTAGAACTGTAAGGTATTTAAAAGAATAGTTAGAGAAGACAATAGTGTAAAAGTCGAATATATATAAAGTTAGTTAATAAAATAATATTGATAATAGACATTTATACGTTAAAATTCGGAGGATACATAAGTATTATAAAAACTATAGAAAAGATTAAGTAGTACCTAATTAGTTAAAGATTAAAGATAACGTTAGGAAAATTATTTAGTTATACTATACGTACGAAAAAATAAAGGTTATACGGTATAAGCCTTATAGATTTTTAAAGTTATTATTAATTTTAGAACGATTATAAAGTTTAATTACGATACACTTTATTTCAAAATATAAAAGTTAAAAAATATAATAGCCGGCGTTAAGTATATTAATATATTAACGGTAATCGATAAGTTTATTAAATCTAGTTTTTACCCTATAAAGGAACTTAGTCGGTAAAGTAATTAGCGGATATAGTACTGGAGTATATTATAGTAATATATACATAGTTAAAGGAGTTTATTACGGACCGTAATATTAAATTTATATTAAAGTTTTCAAAAGCGTTAATAATAAGGTTAAAGGTAATAAGTTGTTAGCTGGTAAGCCCTGATAGGCCTATAATATAGAACCTATACAGGGTTGCTGTAAAATACAGCAGTGCGCAAGCGGAAGCGGGAGGATACGACGGCAGTGCCGAAGGAAGGTAAAGCACTGTAATACAGTGAGGTATAAAGAATAAGAATTGCCTTTATTACCTTTATTTGTGGTGCCTTTAGATCAGGTCCAACCAAGCTTTTGCCCTTAAGGAAAGAAAGAGAATTATACTATAGGAGAGAGGAGAGGTTTATATATAGGCCTTCGTAGGCCTACTATAAGTCCTATAGGCCCTGGAAGCCCCTATACTACTTTAGGGTATTTAGTGGGCTTAAGTGGGTCTAGTGTAGACTTATGGAAATCCATAGAACCTTCGGTAGCAGAGGTGCCCTGTAAATCACACTATTATAGCAACTTACTACGTAAGCCTATAGCCACTTTAGAAGGTTCTAATATCCATTAATTAAGCCTTAGGCCACAGTAGCCCTATAAGCCTTTAAGGGTCCCTTATAAAGAATATTTTAAAGGGATCTAAGTATTATAACCCTGGTACAGGATAGTTGTGGGGCCACGGGAATAAAAGGCTAATCGGGAGAACGTATAGGGGAGCTAATTACAGTGAAGGTAAAGTAATTAGTATAATCAGGGCACTAAGCAGACTAAGCAGAGTAATTAGTGTAATTAAGGCACTAAGCAAACTAAGTAAAGGTAATTAGTGTAATTAAGGCACTAAGTAAACTAAGCAAAGGTAATTAGTGTAATCAGGGCACTAAGCAGACTAAGCCGAAGTAATCAGTGGCCTTAGGAGACTAATTACGGCTTGGCACAAGGACTATATATACAGAGAAACTAGCTAGTATAGATAAACAGTTCCGCAATATGCAATTCAGTTTATATTGAAATGGTGAGAAAACACACAAAACAACCTCAACACCAC